CATTCATTTGAAAAATTGTTTATCATGTATTCCAGAAATGTTCATCATATGTTTGAGAAATATTTATCGTGTCTTTAAAAAATCGTCATGTAATTACAACTTGTTTACCGTGTGCATAAACAACATTCAATATATGTTTAAAATATGTTCATGATATTTAAAAAAATGTTCACGTAATATTTTTTGACATTTTTATCATTATTTGAAGAAAAATAATATGTATTTGAAAGGAGATAACAAACAGAAAAGTAAGATAAATGAAAAAAAAGATAGCCGCAAAATCAAAAGGAAAAGGAAAAAGAACGAAACACTTGGCGTTTGGGACAGGCCAGCCCATCTAAGGGTTGTAGGAAGTAGCTAGTCCTGGCTTTGGGAAGCTTCCAAGTTGGTTTCTATTTCTTTTTTCCTTTTTTGTTTATTCTATATTATTTTCCTGTTCTTTAGGTACGATTTTTCCTTTTGTTTTCCTTTTCAGAATGCACCAATTTGTTTTCAAAATTGATGAACTTAAAAAAACAAAAAATCAAATTCCATGAATTTTCTCGGAGTCGAAGAAGTCTTTTTCAAAATTGATGCTTTTTTTCATTTTTAGTGTTTTTTTTCAAAATTGATGAAATTTTTCCAAATTCATGATTTGTTTTACATAAATGATGTTTCTTTTTAGAATGATGGACCTTTTTTGAATTCCGTTAAAAAAAATTCAAATTCACAAACATTTTCTTAATTTCATGAATATTTTTAAATGCATGATTTTTTTTCAAATGCTCGTTTAAAAAAAATCTTGTGACTTTGAGAAAAGTTCCTGAATTTGAAAAAGTTCAATAATCAGAGAAAAGTGTTTGCGGATTTGATAAAAACTTCATCAATTTGAAAAAACTTCAATAATTCTAAATTGAAAGTTCATTGATTTTGAAAAATAGTTCATGAATTTTTAAAATAGTCTATTGATTTTGAAAGAAGGCTCGCAAATTTTGGAAACCTCTAAATTTTTTATAAAGTTCACAAATTTGAAAAAAAATTCAACGATTTAACAAAAAGGTTCATCAATTTTGAGAAATATGTTTAACAGTTAGAAAAATGGTCATAGAGTTTGAAACAAGGTTCACAGATTTGAATTATGGAGACATAAAAAGGTTCATCAGTTTTAGAAATATTCATGAATCTGCAAAATGTTCACCAGTTTTGGAAAAACAGTTCATGGATTTGCAAAAAAAAAATCACGAATTTGAAGAGAGTTCACAAATTTTATCAAATTTATGAATTTAACAAATGTTCACGGTTTTAGGAAATTTCACGAATTTAATCCAATGGAAAAGAAAATGAAAAAGAATACTAAAGAAAAACAGCTAAACAAGACCGGCGGCACTGGCGCATGTGCTTTAGTCGGTGGGACCGGCGTCCCATGTGCTGATGGCGGCAGGACCGGCGGCCCATATGCTGAAGGTGGCGGGCGGCGGCCGCGGCTCCGGAAGCCATGGCGATGGACGGATTGGGCGCGTGGGCAGCCTGCTCAGACAGAGGAAGTCTCGCGCCCTCGCCGTTGCCTTTCCGCAGAGCCGGGCGCTGGCCCGCAAGGGTGCCATGAGCGCACAAGCTGCCGAATTTCTATGCACCTTCGTGTGATGTATCTGTAAACTGGTACATTAATGAAGGATAAAGTTGGACAATAGCGGTAATTGCCTTTGGCTCCTAGGTGCATATGCACCCATTGTCGAAATCCAAATTCCGAGAAGTTAAAAAATTCGAAACAAAAATCCCGCGTGTATATCCGGACATTTTATGTGCGTTCACAAGGTTTCAGTGAAAAACGACGTTTTTTGTGGCTTGTGTAAAAAGATAAAGAAATGCCTCGTGAATAGTTAGAATGAAGCATCAGAAATTGTCTTTTTTACACAAGCCACAAAAAACGTCGTTTTTCACCGAAACCTTGTGAACGCACATAAAATGTCCGTATATACACGCGGGATTTTTGTTTCGAATTTTTCAACTTCTCGGAATTTGGATTTCGACAATGGGTGCATATGCACCTAGGAGCCAAAACGCCACTCTCGTGACTATTTCATTTGAATTATATTCTGCATTGGTGTACACTTTAACTACATTAGTTTCAGGAAATGATAATAACAGTTGTACAGTCTTTAGGGGTATGAAAATCACTGTCATACAATATTCAGGAGATGAAAATCACAACTAATCTTCAAAAAGTCCTCATTCTTCAGGAAATAAACATGGCAGTGCACATAACATGCAGATTCATGTGAAATATAACATCACCGTGCACATAATTATGCTCATAAGCTTGCTTGATGAAATAAATATGACACTGCTACGTAGTTCCAAAAGTAAAGATTCCATTCCCTAAAAAAGTGAAAGGTTCCAAGTTCGCATCACAACTTCATAGTTCCAGAAAGTATCACAACCAAATCTCCAATTTTCATAAGCATGACAGAAACCAGGAAATTAACTAATGAGACCCAAAAAGCAAGTGGTACAATCTTCCGTGTTTGATACTTCTCTCTCTCTCTCTCTGGCTGCACCATCTCCTCTTCCTCCACTTCTTGATCTTCTTGTGCTTGCTCTTGGGACATCATCTACCATGTTTGAAGCAGCACCACTTGCTCCTATAGCATCATTAACTACAGAAATACTTCCTGTGACCCTGCTTGTACTTGCTCTCCTTGTAGTGCCTCTCGCTCTTGCTCTCCCTCTGGTAGTTGGCACAACATCATCAAGTATAGAAGTACTTGTAGCAGAGCTAGTTGCTCTTCCTCTTCCCCTTCCTCTCCCCTTTCCTCTTCCCCTTGCTATGGCCATCCCTCCCCTTGTTGCTGTTGTTGCCCTTGGAGCAGGAATATTATTTATGTGCTCTTCAACGAAAGCATTGCTAGGCAGTGGACCTTTCCTTCGACTGTGAAAATTCTCCAACTCAGTGATCTGCAAAAATAATAAAGCAAGGATTAGTGGGAAGTAGTAACTGAAATAGAGTATTAAACAATTTGTTCAAATGATTATATGTACTTCTTCTACTAGCAGTTCGTCAACTAGAGTTTCACTGCATTGTGTTGGAATTAACTCAGGAATGCCCTCTTCAGGAACAATATGCTGAAAATAATGAAGCAAAGATTAGCTGCATTAAATATAACAATTCATTTAGCTCTAAGGAATAAAAACGATTGCTCTTTTTAACCTCTAAAATAGAAGGATCATCAATATCTTCTTCATTGTTTCTTCTTTGTGGTTGAAGTTTCAGTTCTGGATGTAGGATAGGGCAACCTGGCCTCTTGTGGTTAGGGTCTCTGCAATGGCTACAGTGCATCTTCACACCATGCTTGCTGAGCCTTGTACCTTGTTCTTTCTCTGATGGGTGCTCTCTCCTTTTATTTGCTTTCCTTCCAGCTTTCTTCTTATACAATGGTGCTCCCACTTCCCTTCCATTTGTCTTTTCCCAAAAACTTTTGTCCCTAACTGTCCAGATAGTGTGTCCATAAGTTTTCATATACTTGTCCCTTGTATAACAAGCTGCTATCCGTGTTTCGGGCTTTATTCTCTCCTCTCTCATGCAAGCAGCTGCATGAGAACATGGAATGCCTGTTAGTTGCCATCTCCGGCAGTCACAACTGTTTTGCAGCATGTTGACCTCATAGCTGAAGGATTTGCTCTTGACTTCGTATACTCCATGCCCAGATCTGTGAGGAAAACAATTGTTTGCATATTTCACATTCTTCTGCAGTTTGTCCATGATTTTGGGGCATATGTTGCCAGTCCATTTGTTCCCACAAATCCTTACATACTCAACCATTCTGTGCATAAGCTGCATCCTTATCTTCTCACATACTAAGGATAGGAAGCTCTCTAGCATCAAGTATGTATCTGTGTGCACGTGTAATGAAGAACAAGATCACTATAAAGAACATGAACGGCACAAAGAACATGAACACATATATGTTTAGTAGCTTACTTGTTGAACACTTCACAATGATTATTCATTAGTGTGTCACTCTTGCAGAAACAATCAAAGAAGGCTCTACACCATTGGTCTGATGGGTGCCCATCAAGCCATGCATGTGCTTCTGGACTCAACAACTTGAGTTTCTCCATGTTTCTTTCCAACTGTTCTGTGTTGCTAGATCTAGCGCAAGCCCAAAGTTGATCCTTGAGAACTTCCCCCTTGTGAATCGCGTTGAAGTTTTGGTACAGATGTCTTACACAAAACCTATGTGGACAATCTGAAAATTCTTGTTCTACTGCAAGTATCAAACCTTTCTGCTTATCTGACATGATGGTATATGCCGCAGTGTTGCTGATGTTCAAGTCTCGCTTCAAAGTGTTCATGAACCACTTCCAGCTATTCTTGTTCTCCCCATCCACCACAGCCATTGCAATTGGAAAAACACAATCATTAGGGTCAATCCCTATTGCTGTCAACATCACACCACCATGCCTAGTTTTCAAGTGGCAACCATCAAAGAAAAGTAGAGGCCTACAGCCCTCTAAGAACCCCCTCTTACAAGCATCAAGGGAGAAGTACATAGTCTGGAACAAACCATGAACATCCAAGTTTAGGAAGACACTGCTCCCTGGGTTTGATCTCCTTATCTCCTGAGCATAATCCCAAAGCAAATTGTATTGCTTCTCCTCATCACCTCTAATAACAGTCATTGCTTTCTTTTTTGCCCTTTGTAGTTTCATTCTTCCAGCAGCCAAGTTGAAGTCCTTCTGCACTTTTTTCCCCAATGATTGTGCATCAATGTCTCATTATCTCTGATATCTTCAAGATATTTTTTGGCAATATATGGAGCCGTCATTGCCTTGATAGCCCACTCTTTGCTGCAGGTGTGCTCATTGATATATCTTTTGACAAGCAAACTCTTGGACCTGGTGTCATGACTTACATACAAGCACCAGGGACAATCTTCAACACATATCACCTCAACCCTGGTTCTAGTATTTCTGATCTTCTTCACAGGCACTCTGTTTTTTATGCTATATTCATCTATTGCTTATCGCAACTGCTCAACAGTTGAAAAGAACATTCCAACTTTAAACTCGGGTTCCTTCATGTCCACTGATGTGAATGACTTGAACTTGAACTTGAAGTTCTCATCTTCAGAATCTGGTAATTCAAGCTCACCATCAGAATCTTCCCTCTTCCTTTTATCCTTCTTATCCTTGTCCTTCACCTCATTATCTTGAACTTGCTGTCTACCTTTGTCAGGGATCATTGAATCTTTCACATCTTGATCCACAAAGGCGGCAAACAAATCATCATCTCCATCAAATGGATCATTGTCACTGTCAAAAAAGTCTGCATCTGAATCAAGCCTGTCACTGTCACTACCATCTTCCTTCAAGCTCTTAAATTTCTGCAATCTCTCCAGCTTCTCATCCATCTGGCGAGTGATATCTCCCTCTGGCTGCCCTGAAAACTGCTATGTAGGCTTGCATTGATTCACAATGATACTAGGCTGTTCTGAAGCATTTGCTTCTATCAACACATCATCCCATATGCTATTGTCAATCAAATACATCTGATCCAAATAAAGAACTATATTGTTGTCCCTGGGCACTGAAGAAATGAGCTTCTGAAGGTTATCATCATTGCACACAAAGAAAAGACCATCAGCAATTGTGTGGCCAGGCAGCAACCAGTACACCTTGTACTTGGTACTGTCTGGGTATCCCAATTTCTCCAACAAATCCACAATATAAAGTACTGACCATTCCTCAACAACACAAAAGTCAAAGAAGTCAATTTTATCATCAATATATGTTTTGTTGCTTCCCAAACCACAGAAAAATCCACCATGATGAACCTCAATAGTGAACACTGGATCATTGAGACCTACAATGCACAATAACACAAAGTAAAGGTTCAGTCTTTGCACTTCAACAAAAAACATACATTACTTTTGTGCACATATATTCAGTTCAAACAGAGTGCAAGGTTCTGTTTTTTCCCCTTAGATCACCACCTATATTCAGTTCATGCAATGAATATGGCACATATATATTCAGTTTCTCCACTAAATGTGAGAATATGTTCAGTTTTTGCGCTGAACATGAGTAGATGCTCATTTTTTCAGTTAAAACAGAGTATAAAGGTTCAGTTTTAGCACCGAAAATGATCTGTTCTTTCATCTAGACAGTGTAGATTTCACACATAGGAATAATTTGTAAAGGTTTAGTTCTTTCCCACATATATATTCAGTTACAACAAAGTGTAAAGCTTCAGTTTCTGCACTGAATACGATTTGTTCTTCCACCTGTCCGGAGCAGATTTTCACACATAGGAACAAGTGTAAGGGTTCAGTTTTTTTGCACATATATATTCAGTTTAAACTGAGTGTAAAGGTTCAGGTTTTCCCCCTTATATCACCACACATAGGAACAAAACGGCAGCCATGCTTACAAACTAGACCTCAGTACAGAAATTTGGCATCAATCCATCGAAAATGATTAACAACAAAGAAAAGATCCAATTGTCGATGATCACATATGCCCTATTCCATGGAAGAGGACACAGAAGCAAAGAGAAGAGGAGAGGAGGAAGATCATACCATATAAGGGTGGAGGATCGGTTTTCTCACGCAGCCGGGCCATCCACGGCTTGCCGGCGTTGAGCCGCCTTAGGTCGCCGTCGATCGTCCTGCTCCACGGAAACCGTCCAGAGAAGAGTACGAGAAAGGAAGGGCTTGGTCCAGCCGTGATTGGCGCGGGATTTCAGTTTCGTCCATTTTACAATTAACACCCTGGGAAAGATAACACTCGCAGAGCGGTCTAGTCTTAGCCGAGGTGGCAGCCACGTGTGCAGGATCAGACCTCCGAAACGTTTTTTTGGCCTAAAGTGTGCTCATAATCTAGTTTGTGGCCTAATCTGTGCAGATTTTGAGTTTGTGGTCTAAAGTGTGCTTTTAATTTGAGTTTATGGACCAACCATGCATTTCACTCTTTAAAATTTGTCCATAAAAAAATGTACTTCTATCTTCTCAATGCACTTTAAAGTAGAAAACAATGTTCCTCTCTTATCACACGGTAATCAAGACCAATAACAATCTACACATAATCTCCTTAATTTCTACATGTACTTAGCTCATTGGGGGTTGGGTAATTAAAAAGAGGAGAGGGTGGCTTGCAGTATTTTTTACTCCACTCCATAATTTGTCCTAAATTTTTTATATGCACACTCTTCACCGGACGGCGGGAGTATACACTAACACACAAGCACACAAAGAACAACACAATTAACAAATGCTGCATTTAAGACTGTGACGAAACATTGCCAGCAAGTCCCATCAGCAGATAAGGTGCTGTAAGTAGAAAAGTTTCAGGTTCCACTTAAACAGGTGTACCTATTGACAGGTAATAATAACCAATGAAAAGAAGGCATCAGCTCTACAGCTGGGCAGCTTAAGACACTAAGCTTACATCTGAGCCACTAGAAAACACGAGTTAGGAACACAAGAAAAATGCGAAACCTGCAGGTTGGCCGAAAACAATCCAAAGAACAGATCCCTAGCTTGGAAATATAGTTGTATCAGCATAAAATTGCTCTGCCACTAGCAGGATAGAACACAATACACACTTGACAGCAGCCACAACATTTGCAGTAATCACGACAGCAAGCAAAAAATATCCCGAGGTAGAGGTCGCAATTGGTCTTCTTAATCTCGGCCGCGTGTTCTGCACAGTGGAGAAAGATGAGAGATCAAGCAAAGAGGAGATGGCCGCTGGACAGGAGGAAGGCCGGATGGGCTACCTGCGCCGTTCCTTAGGGCACGCGAAGGCGAGGCCTCCTGTATCAAGCGGGGATGGGAGGGACAAAGCTCGATGTCAAGCACAGACGCTCCAAATTGGGCAGTCAGTTTTTTGACTTCAGGGCGGGTCTCGATATCATGCCCAAATGCCACAGACGAATGCCAAGATCAACCAAACGGTGGTATTCAGGATATTCAGCCTAGATGAATATACCCAATACCAGGCCCGAATGCAACATCCAAACGAAGTGTTATGAAATTAACAGGAGAAAAGAAACAATGAAAGAAAGATACTCCTTCCTTCCATCTATATAGGGCCTAATGCATTTTTTAAGACCGCCTTTGACTATTGACATGATTAATAGTACATGACATGTACAATGTGAAAATTATATCATTGAAAGCTCCTTTCACACACGAATTTAACGGTGTGCTTTGTGTAAGTTGCATGTCATATATTATAGCTCTAATATTTGGTCAAAGTTAGCCTTGAAAAACGCATTAGGCCCTATATAGATGGAAGGAGGGAGTACAAGAAAAAATCTGAAAGGAAACTTTAAAAACCTGAAATAAACGACAGAAAAAAAATCAGAAGGAAAAGCGAAAAATGAAAATAATAATAATAATAATAAACAAACTGAAAGAAACTAAAATAAACCACTGAACCAGAAACAACAAGATAATTTCAGAACAATGCCATTACATAGTATGGGTAAAATTCTTAGAACCACTAAACAGGGAACAACATGAGGACCCTGGCAATTCTTTAGGGCAAACTTATCAAAAATGTCACAACGGAATGCACTGCCCGCCCAGTTGTGATAAGCCGTCACATGTTGACAGGCCTTCTACTTACGTCGCTTGTACCTTGATTTGCTCTTGAAGGCATTCTTAGATTTCTTTGCAAACGAGCTGTCCTTTTTCTTCAGGGAACGGCCCTGCTTCCATTCACTCATATCATTCTGGAACAGTTCATGCATTTCCTCTTGCCTAGTCTGGCCCTTTTCAGCAGGCTGTTTTGACCCTTTCTCATTCTTTCCTTTGCTAGCACGAACGCCGATTTTGCCCGTCGCCTTCATTGATTTTGCCCTGCGATAAGCGACATCAACTACAGATTGGCTACTCTTTGCTTTCTTCCCTCCTTTGCTTTCCTGAGCTTCCTCCTCTTCCTTCTCCTCCTCTAGCATTTCCCGCTGTGCCTCCAACTTTCTGCGCTTCTTCCTAGGTAGATTTTTCTCACGCTCTCTTCTTCTTTTCTCCTTCAGACGAAGATCTTCAGCTTGCTGAGCACTAACAACTACAGAGCCACCTTTAACTTGATCCAAGGATTCTTTAGCAGCCTTTGCCAACAGTTTCTTTTCCTTCTCAGTAGCAAACCAGGTTCTCTTGGGGCGTGAGTATATCTCATCCCTGTGAGCTATCATATTTTCTGCCTTTGTAGCTTCCATTTCAGCCTTTCTCAATGCCATTTCCTCCCTTTCTTCCAGAATTATGTTAGAGATTTGATGCTCCAGTTGCTCAATTAATTTTGCACAGTCAGACACAGGTTTCTCGGCAACAATGCGGCTTTTCAGCTGAGAACCAGCCTTCTTTGCAATAGCTTTCAACAGGGATCTATCATCATCAGTAACAAATGTCACGGCATATCCTTCCCTGCCAGCCCTTGCAGTACGGCCAACACGATGAAGGTAAGTTTTGACATCACGTGGGCAGGCAAAATTTATGACAGTTCTAACACCAACAATGTCAATACCACGAGCTGCAATATCAGTTGCAATCAGGATGTCCGCTTCTTGCTTTTTGAATTGTTCTAAAGCCTCAAGCCGCTGTGCCTGTGTAAGGTTGCCATGAAGCTCAGCAGCTTTTATCCCAGACAGACCAAACAGTATCTTCAATCTGTGAGCAGAATGCTTTGTCCCACTAAAAATGATCACTCTTTCCTTGAAGGTCTTCAAACAGAGAGCAAGCAGAACAGCTTCTTGAGTTGCTTCACGTGATCGCCGTATTCTAACCACCTCTTCAGTCAATGTTGCAGGGCGTTTCAGCGAAGGATCAGCTTCAAGACGGACTGGCTTGTTCAGAGAAAGTTTCACAAGCTCGTCGATTTGCTCTGTCATTGTGGCAGAAAAGAGCATGGTCTGCCTCCTTTTAGGACACATGCGAATGAGCTCACCAATTTCAACACTGAAACCCAATTCTAGCAAACGGTCAGCTTCATCAAGGATCAGAACTGCAAGATCTTCAAGCCCGACAGAAAGGGAGTTGCGCAGATGATCCACTATACGCCCAGGAGTGGCAACAACAATGTCAGGATTCGACCTTAAAGCCACCTCCTGTGCCTTGGTTGGAAGCCCACCAACTATGAGACAGCACCTGATATCAGTAAACTGGGCCAATTTCTCAATCATGCTATGGACCTGCGCAGCAAGCTCTCTGGTTGGGGTGAGAATAAGCACCCTGATTGCAGGCACGCGCTTCGGCCGGAAAAGCAGACGCTCCAGCACAGGCAGAGAGAAAGCAGCCGTCTTCCCTGATCCTGTGATGGCACTGCCGCATATATCCCTCCCTGTTAATGCCAGAGGGATGCATGCGGCCTGAATTGGTGTTGGCTTCTGGTAGCCCAGTGCTTCACAGGCTCGAATGAGTGGACGCGATAAGTTGAGCTCAAGAAACGACCTTGCACTAAAAGAAGCTCCTTCCGATGACGCAAAGAATTGAGACGGATCCGGCTGCTCGGGCGCATCGTCTTCCTCTTGCACAGCCTCTTCTTCTTCTTCTTCTCCCCCCGCCTCTTCCCCTTCGCCTTGCTCGCCAGCTTCCACTTCACCGTCCTCCTCCCCGCCGCTCGACTCGATCTCTTCGTCGTCGTCGCCGCTCTCCTCGATCTCGTCCTCATCGTCCCCGCTCTCCCCCTTCACCGCCGCCTCCTCGTCGCTGTCGTCATCAGCATCCTCCTCCTCCTCGTCCTCGGAGCCATCGGGCATGGAGGGGTTGCGCCGGCCCCGGAGAGCCTGGGAGATCTTCTCGTCGATGGAGGTGGTGCGGCGCGCCGCGTGCTCCGCCGCCACGGACTCGGCGTACGTGGAGAACTCCCACGGCGACTGCGCGGGCTTGCGCCGCACGGCGGCCCCCGCCGGCGCCTCGTCGTCGGAGCCGTCCGGGTCGAACCGGAAGTCGGGGTCCATGTTGGGAGGGACACGGGAGACGGAGGGAGGCGGGCGGCTGTGCTAGGTTTTCCGGCGGCGGGGGGTTGGGGTTTGAGGGAGGGGGCGAGGGTTTTAGTCCAGCAGGAGCGCTCTGGCAAGCGGACGAACGGACCGAGAACGCCCCAATTGGGCCGGCCCAATCGCTAAGATACGAGCCCACGCGATCTATCAATTTGAAGGCCTGTTTACCCGGCCCAGTTCGACGTCGATGGCGTATCGTCCCGTCTCCGTCTCCGCCAATGTCAAAGCCGATCCTACAGCCACGTGACCTTGCCACCACCAGACGTGACACCCCTTCATAAATCTGTTGTAGCTCACGACACGAGGGAGATGAGCGATGTCGTCGTGATGCTCCTCTCCGTGTATGGCTTCCGGTTGAAACCTTTGTTCGTTGTGGATTTGGCACGACGACGCTTAGTGTCGCTCTTGAAGAAAATATGCCCTAGAGGCAATAATAAATTTATTATTTATTTTTTTATATCATGATAAATGTTTATTATTCATGCTATAATTATATTAACCGGAAACTTAGTATATGTGTGAATACATAGACAAACAGAGTGTCACTAGTATGCCTCTAGTTGACTAGCTCGTTGAATTAAAGATGGTTAAGTTTTCTATCCATAGACATGCGCTGTCATTTGATTAACAGGATCACATCATTAGAGAATGATGTGATTGGCTTGACCTATTTCGTTAGCTTAGCATTTGATCGTTTAATATATTTTTATTGCTTTTTTCATGACTTATACATGTTTCTATGACTATGAGATTATGCAACTCCCGAATACCGGAGGAACACTTTGTGTGCTACCAAACGTCATAACGTAACTAGGTGATTATAAAGGTGCTCTACAGGTGTCTCCGATGGTATTTGTTGAGTTGGCATAGATCGAGATTATGATTTGTCACTTCGATTGTCGGAGATGTATCTCTGGGCCCTCTCGGTAATGCACATCAATATAAGCCTTGCAAGCATTGTAACTAATGAGTTAGTTGCGGTAGATGTATTACTGAACGAGTAAAGAGACTTGCCGGTCACGAGATTGAACTAGGTATTGAGATACCGACGATCGAATCTCGGGCAAATAACATACCGATGACAAAGGGAACAACGTATGTTGTTATGTGGTTTGACCGATAAAGATCTTCGTAGAATATGTAGGAGCCAATATGAACATCCATGTTCCGCTATTGGTTATTGACTGGAGACGTGTCTCGGTCATGTCTACATAGTTCTTGAACCCGTAGGATCCACACGCTTAAAGTTCGGTGACGATCGGTATTATGAGTTTATGTGATTTGATGTACCGAAGGTAGTTCGGAGTCCCGGATGAGATCGGGGACATGACGAGGAGTCTCGAAATGGTCGAGATGTAAAGATCAATATATTGGACGACTATATTCGTGTTGGGGAACATAGTAATTTCAAAAAAAATCCTACGCACACGCAAGATCATGGTGATGCATAGCAACGAGAGGGGAGAGTGTTGTCTACATACCCTTGTAGACCGTTCGCGGAAGCGTTATATCAACGTGGTTGATGTAGTCGTGCGTCTTCACGATCCGACCGATCCAAGTACCGAAAGCACGGCACCTCCGAGTTTTGCACACGTTCGGCTCGGTGACGTCCTCGCCTTCTCGATCCAGCGAGAGGGGCGAAGTAGTAGATGAGTTCCAGCAGCACGACGGCGTGGTGACGGTGTTGGTGAAGAACAATCTCCGTAGGGCTTCGCCTAAGCACTACAAAAACTATGACGGAGGATAAACTAGAGGGGACGGGGTTGTCGGCACACGGCTTGGTGTTTCTTGATGTTTCTTGGATGCTAGTCCTACCCCTCTATTTATATGTTGAGCCTTGGGGTCGAAACTTGGAGTAAAAGCCTCCACAAAGTCGGTTTCACCCGAAAGGCAAGAGTCCTTCTCGGACTCTAGGGCCAGACGCCAGGGTTCCCCGCGTGTGGCCCCTGGACTCCGCAAAACTTCCTTTTGCGCTTTCCAAAAACCTTGTGGGCTTTTCCCTTTGGCCCAAATAAAGTGTTCTCGTACCCAAACATTTCGGGAAACATCCGGAACCCCTTCCGGTGAATTCCGGAACCCTTCCGGAGTCCAAACACTATTATCCCATAATACAATCTTTATCTCCGGACCATTCTGGAGTTCCTTGTCATGTCCCTGATCTTATCTGGAACCCCGAACAATATTCGGTCACCAACATACATAACTCATAGTACTATATCGTCAACGAACGTTAAGCGTGCGGACTGAAAGAACATGCGGTGCCCCCATGTTTGGTTTTGGCAATTGATGACAATCTCTATGGACTAATGGTTGCCTTGAGTTATATTTAAAGGTTTTGTCCATAGGCTTTTCTTGGAGTACATGTGTTGGTTTCAAGGAGAGTTTGTGTCGACGAAGGTGCCATTCAAGGAATTATCCAAAGATTGGTCATGTGAGTGTCGAGCTTATTGCAAGCATGTCTTGAAGAAGAAGATTGTGTGATCATTCATGTCTACCTTCGAGACATCATCCAAATGAAGAGAATTGGAAAGATTCAAGGTTGATCAAGATTAAGTAAAGAATGAATCAAGTTGATAAACTCACAAAGCGCAGAAGATGTACCGAGAGGGATCAAGTGATCCCATGGTATGGTAAGCATTGTCAATTTCGCTTTGTGTACTAACCCATGGTCTTCGTGAGAGTTCTTTGTGGGGTTAGGTTGCGGTGTGCAAGTTCAAGTGGAGCATCATGAATAGATCAAATGCTTGAAGCTTGCCGTCCATTGTGGTGACAATGGACATGTGAAGATGTGCGGAAGAGTGGCTCACCCATAGTGGAGTATGGGGGAGCAATCAACTAGTCTTCATCGAGCCAACACAATCAAGAAAGGTGGTCCAACTTGAGGAAGTCAAGATCATCATCATCTAGCTCAAGTGGACCATGTGCAAGGCAAAGGTTTGCCCTTGATAGGTTTTCTATTTTACCAGTCTCATGTTGGTAGTTGGGACACCGGGTTATAGGATCGATTGCCGTACTATCAAGGAGGGCTCTCGATGAGTAGTTTGATCGTATCGTTCGTTGAGAGCTCAAACCATTGCATCCTTGCATCATATTTCTTGGTTCTTGTTTGGTTCTCTTTGTGATTCTTAGAGCTTATGGTCATCTTGATGACAAGTTTGAGTTCATCGAAAACGGAGTTCGCATGCATCTTCTATGATGTTTTCGATGTTGGAGGTTTCGCTGTTTTGATGCTACTCGTCGTCTTGTTTCCAACAAGCTTGAGTTTGCTCAATTTGGAGCTCATATGCAGAAGTTATGGCAGTTCTGGTTTTTCGTGGAGTTTACTTGCTTTCGTGGAAGTGGCATAAGGATGGCACCAGCGGTAGTACCGCTGGGCCGGAGCGGCAGTACCGCTTATCGCCACAAGCGGTAGTACCGCTGTCCCATATCGGTAGTACCGCCCATGGCCATAAGCGGTAGTACGGCTCTGGTTCCGCGCTAGTACTGCCTCGACTCGAGACGTGGTTTTCTCGTGTCGGGTTCAGCGGCAGTAGGAGCGGTAGTACCGCTCATGTGCGGTAGTACCGCGGCTACCGCCACTCCTAGTGCCGCTCAATGGCCCTCCTCTCTGTTCCTTCTCCCTGTGCTCGTGGTAGGCGTTGTGCGCGGTCCCAGCGGTAGTACCGCCGGGCCGGAGCGGCAGTACCGCTTATCGCCACAAGCGGTAGTACCGTTGTCCCAAGCGGCAGTACCGCTGCGGCCATCGGTAGTACCGCTGGCTCCAGCGATAGTGTCGCTCATACGACTCTGCCACGCACTCTGTTTCACTCCGCTCTCCGTGTTCTACCTCCCAGGCAGTAGTACCGCTCCCCTGAGCGGTAGTACCGCTCCCCTGAGCGGTAGTACCGCTCGTGCGCGGACCGAGCACATAACGGTTGGATTCGGGAGCTCCTATAAAAGGGGGTCTTCTTCCCATTCAACCTTATCCTTTGAGCTCGTGTTCTTCCCCCATTGTTGGCCTTCTTCGAGCTTGCTAACTCTCAATCCCTCCATGGATTCTTGCTAGTTTTTGAGGGAAAAGAGAGAGGAGATCTAGATCCACATTTCCACCAATCACTTTCTCCTCTATGTGAGGGGAACCCCTTAGATCTAGATCTTGGAGTTCTTTGTGTTCTCTTTCTTGTTCTTCCTCTCATTTTCCTCCCTAGCATTAGTTGCTTCGGTGGGGTTTGAGAGAGAAGGACTTGGGCACTCCGTGTGCCCTTGCCATTGCATTTGGTGCATCGGTTTGAGTTCTTCACGGTGATACGTGGAAGTTACAAGTTGAGAAGCTTATTACTCTTGGGTGCTTGGTACCCTTGAGCTTGTTCCTCTTGGGTGCTTGGGCGCCCTAGACGGTTGGTGGTGTTCAGAGCTCAATCATTGTGGTGTAAAGCTCCGGGCAAGCGTCGGGGTCTCCAATTAGGTTGTGGAGATCGCCCCGAGAAATTTGACGGGTACCGGTGACCGCCCCCAAGGGTTGCCAAAGTTTACGGGTTCGGTGACCGCCCCCAAGGGTTGTCATTTGTACGGGTTCGGTGACCGCCCTCAGGGGTCCCTTAGTGGAATCACGACATCTTGCATTGTGCGAGGGCGTGAGGAGATTACGGTGGCCCTAGTGGCTCCTTGGGGGGCATTGTGCCTCCACACCGCTCCAAACGGAGATTAGCATCCACAAGGGTGTGAACTTCGGGATACATCATCGTCTCCGCGTGCCTCGGTTATCTCTTACCCGAGCC